TCGTGGCCCATGTTTCGTGATCCATGTTTCGTGGGCCATTCTTTCAGGGTTCCATTCTCAAGATTCCATGCTTTCGGGGTTCCAAGTTCTGTGGTTCCATGTTCTGTGGTTCCATTTTCGGTGGTTCCATACTTTCAGGGATCCATTCTCAAGAAGCCATGTCCCAGGGTCCATGTTTCGTGGTCCATTCTTTCAAGGCTCCATTCTCAAGGATCCATGTTTCGTGGTCAATGTCTCGTGGCCCAATCCCATGCGTTCGTGCTTCCGTGTTCCGTGCGTTTGTTCTTTCGCTGGCTTCCGGCGCGACCGGAATCAGACGGGTCCTCGAGTCTGAGCCGCCGCTGAGTTCAAATCGGCCATGCCGGAAGCCAAATATACATGCATGATTCCAGTCACTCCAGCACAGGCTTCAACGGAAAAGAGATGCCAAGGAGTCTCGCGAGGCGGCGTCTGCGGGACCCGGAGCGGACACTGGCCAGGACCTATCGACTATTCGGTTTCGTATTTCCGGTGACGCGGTTCGCGTGCTCTGTCCTGATTCTGTCCCGGTTCGGTTGGCATCGGTCGCTACGACGAATGTCTTGACGGGGTGCCATATCGTGGCTGGGTGCTTCGAGAAGATTGTCATGTCTTGGGGGACTTCAACATTTCCTGTGGATCTATTACTTTGGGGCGCAGCGGGAATGCTGGATATGCCAATCCCTGGACAAGTGACTACTCTTATGATGTGATGAAGCCGACGCCTTTGTCGTGTCTAGATTGTGGCGCCGGCTCTTAGACCTATGAGAAGAGGCGCGTCGACAGGCTGTTTGGGAGCAGCTTTTTGACCGGCCGGTTTCGCCAGTTTCACCGTGTCTACCGTGTACGCCCAGTTTGCCAGTTCGCCATATTCGCTGGTTTCACCATTCACCATTTATCATATTCGCTGGTTTCACCATTCGCCATATTCGCTGGCTTCACCATTCACCATTTATCATATTCGCTGGTTTCACCATTCACCATATTCGCTGGCTTCACCATTCACCATTTATCATATTCGCTGGTTTCACCATTCACCATATTCGCTGGTTTCACCATGCACCATATTCGCTGGTTTCACCATGCACCATATTCGCTTGTTTCACCATTCACCTTTCACCTTTCACCATTCATCATTCACCACTTCATCCGGCGGCCGACGCCGCCTACTCCAGGTCCGAGGCCAGGCCGGACCCGTCCGATCTGTCGCTGAGGTCTTCGTTTTCGGCGCTGTTCTCGCCTCTTCCGCCCGTTTCCAGCGCCGGCGCCGCGCGGCCGGCGTACTCGGCGCTCTCCAAGAGCGCGCGGAGCCGGGCGTCGCCCACCACGAGGTCCACGGGCCGCTGGCCGTGGCGGTCGCGGATGGTCACGTCGCTGCCGGCGTCAATCAAGTTGTCGGCGAGAAAATAGCCGAACGGCGCGTCGGCGGCCGCGAGCCGGACGGCCAAGTGCAACGGCGTGTCGCCGTCGCGGTTGCGGGGGTCGATCTCCACGCCCTCGACGTCGAGCATCATATCGAGCACGTCCCAGTTGCCGTTGGCCGTGGCTATGTGCACCGCGGAGTTGCCGGAAACGACCTCGAGCGCGCCGTTGATCAAGCGCGCCAAGGGCGCGTGGTCCGGGCCGACGCCGGCGGCGATCTGCTGGAAGAGCTCGGTGTTGTTGCGCCGGGCGCTTTCCAAGAGCTGTTCCTTGTAGCTGGCTCCGTCGGACATGGCCGAAAATGCGGGTGTTTCTGCGGGGATTTCGGGGTTTGTTCGGTGCGGCGTGTACGGGCGGCTATGCGGTACACGGGGGGTCTATAAGGGTGGCGGCAGCGGGGACTGGGGGGAGGATCCACGGTGGTGCCGGGTTTTCTGGGTGGTGGAGCCCGGTGTTTTCGGGCTGGAGCTGGCAGCTTGGCGCGCGCGGCGGGGCGGTGCGGGTCGGAGGTCGCGACCCTAAATGGGGCCCGGAAATGGCTATAAATTGGGTGATAATTGGGTGATGAATGGGTGATGAAAGGGTGGTAAATAGGTGATGAATTGGTGTTAAATGGGTGATAAATGGGTGATAAATGGGTGATAAATGGGTGTTAG